GCCATTTATGAGGAAGCTTGCCAGTGTTTTGCAGTAATTAGTCATCCAAAACTACTACATCCAGTGTCACTGAGCCCCTGTAGCCTGCAAAACCACTTCTGGTTCCCTGGGAACTCTACACTTACAAGTCACAACCCCAATTCCCATCAGCAGCACGGCTCCCTGTGAGGACAGCCTGCTTCATACCAGGCTGAGGAGATCGCTGAGTAATGACAGACCAAGGAGCTGGAGGAAAACATGGAGTGTTTACAAAGGAAAAAAAGTCATGAGCAATGTGGTCTGCGGGGAGAAGAGATCAAGGACTGCTGAAAGAGAGCTACTCGCGTGAAGGAGAAACTTTTCAGAGCAATTACCTTTAGGACATAACCTCCGAGCTCTTTGAGCATCTGAAAAGAGCAGTGGATCCTCAGGACACAGGCTATGCGATGACACTTGGCTTATAGGTCTCAGTATATCTTTATTTGTTAGGTCTGTTCTCCACTCATATGTTTCCCACAGAACAAGCAGGAAGGTGAAAAACTTTTAAGCCAGACTAGCAGTAGTAGTTGCCAACATACTGCGGACACAAGTTTCCTAGTGGCATCATGGTGCCTTAAACTGGTAAGAGCTTTTTTCCATAAGAGCCATACCCCTATACTCAATATACCACTATGCCAGTCCCCACAGTGGGAGGGTTGTACTACTTCAAATATACCGGAGTGGCAAAAATGGCCCATTAGGGTAGGTAAATGAGGCCTTAAACTGCAGAAGGAAAATGACTCCTCGTTAACCAAATCTCAAAGCAAGCTAAAATGGAGCTACAGATCTGCGCTTGAACAGAGTCAAGACGGATCTTATCTCAGACACATGCCAAGCACTAAGAGCATTTGCAAAATGGAGTTAGAATTACTTTGAAGTGGTTTCTCAGACTAGCTTGTTTTTAACATCCACACTGGCAGTACTACAAGGGTTTCTCTGGGATTACTGTCTGGACTGCAATGCCTCTGCTCAGATCCACCCTTGAATACTTGGAGACACCTTCCTGGAACTCTTCAAAGGCAGTGTTGGGTTCTGCAGTACCTCACAGAAGAACCCAAAGAAGCAGTATAGTATCTTATAATATGTTCTGGGTCTGATGCACATGTGAGTCTTCCCAGTTGAACCCTCAGTGGAAAAGACTAGAGAAAGAGAAGCAAAGACATGGAAAAGTACCAGCAAATTCTTGGAGTAGAGGCTTAGTCCATGGAACAATGTTATGCTTGACTTACACCACTAACCTTCCACAGAGCTGCCGGCAGTGAATGGGCATATTTCAATCTTGGGAACTACATTTATCTCTGCAGTGATCTTACCCGGCCACTGTCACTCAGGGTTTGCACACCACTTAGGTCCAGCTGTGAAATGGCCTCCCCTGGACAACACTGTAACTGCGGGCTGGGAAAACAGACCAGATCCAGTTTGAAGGAAGGGCACACTACCTGTGCAGGGGTCGCCCTTGGCTCCTGGCTCATAGCCTACGTGAAGCAGCCCTACCCTTGCTGCTCCTTGACAGATTTTATAAAACGTGATAACCTATCCTACAACTTGGTGTGCCTGCTGAGTGAGGGTGAGAGGGATCTACTGGACTAGAGGGTTGGAGGAAGTCAGGAATCCTGCTCTCTCTTCCACAACACAGGTTGCATTCGTTTCTCATCCTCCTTTCTATCAGCAACACTACAAGAGCGTGTTGGGGGGCAGGGAGGGGTGTTTAAGCTCAAAGGAAAGCTACTCTCCTTCTCTTGGTAGAAGGGGAGACGATTAGCATTTCCTATGCAAGGTCGCTGCATTTGACATGGGGATATTTGCCTTCCCTGCAGGGTTTATCAGTTCAGCACAATACCCAAGAGAGCGAGGCACGTGTTTCCAGCAGCTTTTGGGTCTCAGCAGAGCTCAGATTTCTCTGATGAGGAGCTGCCAGGCAAGGGTCTTGGGGAGCTACTGCTGCCCGCACACATGCTGCTCTGCAGCTGACTCACTAGTGCTTCTCTTTTTAATAAAGTGCCCTGTAGGGAAGCTAATGCTGAAGCCCCTGGGATTGGAGCTGAGCAATTAATACTGAAAATATCCTTTCCTGCCATTTCAGAGCCAGTTCAGAAAGAAGTTACACAGAGACTCACTCCCTCTACAATCGCTAAAGATGAAACATGGTGCACATAGAAAAAACTAAGATGAATTGGACCCAGGGATTTACTGAGCTCCTGATATAATTTTGCTAACACCAGATCCTTCATAGGTTCCCTGGAAGAGGAGCAAACCTTCAGGAAGCTGATGGAAAGGGATGAATCTTTTTTCCCTCCTGCCTTGGAATCAGAGCTGGTTTTACAGAACGCCAAGAGACTAAGTGGGAAACCGGAGTGGTGGAAGACCAGCAATAGCATACTCAAGGAGAAAGCCTTCAAAGCATTTGGCACCTCACTTTCAGCTCCCATTGGCTGTGGCAGCTTCAGAAGATTCCTTCTTTTTCCTACAGTGGTTTCATCACAGCTTTTTGGCTCCTGTGTGTAATCAGGAGAGTTATGCACTGAGTATATTTATCTCCTCTAAGCTGTGACCAGGTCAGTACAGAATGTCCCAAAATCCAACCTATGAACTCTGTCACAGACAGATGCCACCCTGACCTCCCACCACCCAACTCTGCCCATCACAGCACTCAAACAGAGCCATTCTGGAAACTACCATCAAGATCTTGGCACCTAAGTCTGAGAACAGCCCAGACCACCAGTTTCTTCTTATTTCTTGACTTTGCAGCGTCTCCTATTACTTCACTACAGACTCTTAAGTAATTGTTGCTCTAATCATGCCCTCCACATTCATCACAGGTCCCAATGACACATCTGCAAATCTTGTCAGAAGATTAAAGGACAGAACCTTATTGCAAGAATAATCTAGCTGATTCCAGAAGAACTAATTATTCTCTTTGTTAAAAGTTCTACAATCAAGTTATTTTGGGGCTGCCATTTTTTTCTACAGCTTCTGGAGTGGAAGCCACCTGAACTATATATAGGTGGGGCATATAACCATCTCTCTAGTTCTTTATCTCAGCTTCCTCTGGCTCCATTTCTGAGACAGGCACTGAGATAATACCTTTTTTCACCTTTATTAAGTGGAAAAAGTGAAGGTGATTTACTTGCAGAGGAGAAGCAGAAAAAAATCAGAAGAGGTAAGTTTAATTCCCGGCTTCACAGGCTTGCAAAGCTGGAAAGATCAGTACTGCGGCATGAGTGTTCGCTCTGGGAAGAAATTTTTTACCCTGCTTCTCCCGCAGACTCTACTGAGCCCTCCTGCCTGTGGGATGCATCCTCACCACCTCCCCTCAGTCTTGCTGCTAAAAAAGGTCCCTAGGCTAAACCTTTTCTTCCTCTGTCCTGTCTCCTGCAACCTTTCAAGACCCTATCCCTTCACTACAGAGTTACCTTGATGGTCATTTATAGGCTTTGATTGTAGTCTGGCCCAGGTAACTCTTTTTCTAGATTACATGAATTTAGCTTTGTTTCCCTCCTCATCAGGGTCTGATCTCCATATGTTTGAGGCTCTTTATTCTACTGGGTTACACAAGTGGTCTTTTGGTGTTACAGCTGCTGAGTGGAAAGGGTCCAAGAGTCAATTTGTATCAGCTGGTGCCATGCACTTGTGCAACCTGCTCAGTACAGCTCAAGGTCTCTCAGACTGTTTTAGATACCCACCGTTATAGTATTCACTTCTCCTCAGAAGCACCTGGGGAAGGAAAACTCTCTGAGCCTCCCATCTGATTTGTCTGAGAGAATAGAGTTGGGAACTGGACCCAGGTGTCTTTCAGTCAATGCTCCAGCCACTGGATTACTCTTCCTCTCGCCATGTGCATGTGTCACTGATAGTTACCACGTTCTGTCGAGGTTTTCCACAACCAGCAGCCCTGGTTGTTTTGACTCTTGAGGTCACTCTGCAGCTTGTGTTGCAGCTCTCACTCGCTGGCCTTTGAGCCAAGTACGCCACTCACACTTGTAACTCTGCAACCCTAGCTTTCACCTCTTCCCCCGGGGTTGAATTGGAAAAGCTAATAGAAGTTGCTGCCATCAGACAGCAACCTCCACCCAAATGTTACGATAAAGGAAACATGGTTCAAATCTGCTGCTCTGAAGCGGTCCTGCAAGGGCACCACAGCCAAGTCACTTCATCAGATGGGGATGATTTCTGTCTGATCTGCCCTGTTCTTGCATTGCTCCCACCACATAAATACTAAAAAGGCAGCATCGGAGAAGATAAGGCAGCTGCTGCATGAGTTGCTTTGCTGCAGATAAATAAAGGGTTCTAGTCTCCAGAACTGTCAGTCTGGCACCTTTCAACAGCAAGAAGTGAATGATTATAGCAGAGGGAAGAAATGAATAAATAAACACCGAACAGACGACTTTTTCATGGATGCTCACTCTTCTTAGGCATGGGCAGCGTGTGCCCAGAGCTCCGCACGTGGGAGGCATGGGAAGTTGGCAGTTCTTTTATACATTTTACATTTGTTCTGTTCTGCCCGAGTGCCTGATTATTATTATTTTTTAAGAAGAAATTGGCTGGGGGAATCTGGAGGTTAAGAGCTGCAATAAGAGGCAATTTTTTAAGCTCTGTCAGTTTTTGCTGCTTAATCAACTGGACATTGTCCCTTTGAATAAAAGATCCTGAATTCTCAGCGAAACAGTTGAAAGGTACTGTGAACTCCCCCCGTGCATTTACCATATGGTATAAATCTCCCTCACAGCAAACAACAGAGTGAGCAGCACAGCCTGGGAAGTTATTGGGAAGTCTGGCTACTGATTCCATGACAGGAGGCTGGAAGAGTCTGTTTCAACCCCAGGCAGAAGCGTGCACGATCATATTGACCCTTCAAGTGGGTATGGAGCAGAAGGCTTACCAGTTTCCTTGGGACCAGTAACGAAAATTACGGAGCAGACCCAGCCATGGCTCTAGGACCCTCTCTGCCTCCTGTCTTTGGCTCAGTAGGCCCAGACCCCCGCACAAAACCGTTTCCCTTCGTGCTCTTTGCGGTTTCCTGCCAGGAGGGGGAGCCTGACTCCTGCCTTCTGCTGCAGGCAGCCCGCAGTAGGCTCTGCTGGGGCTGGCTCCTGCTCCGCAGCGCTGAGACCGTCTCCTTGCAGAGACTGCCTCAAAGCAGCCTCCATGTCCAAAGTGGAGGAAGGCTCTAGAAGGAGGTGGGGGCAAACGGGAAGCTGGGGGATGCCACGTTAGCGCTGGGAGGTCGATGCTGAAGTGGTGATACTGCAACTGAGGGCCTGGGTTTAGGGAACGAGCCGGGCAGGCACTTACCACCATGCGGTTGAGGGACACCCAACAATCGTCAGGGAAGTCCTGCAGCATAGGCACCAGGAACTGGAGGCAGCCATCCCAGTGACACAGCAGCAGCATCATCCCAATCAGGTTCACAATCCGCACCACCGCGCTGGCCAGATCGTAGGTCATGTGGAAGATCTGCAAGGGGCCAACAGGGAGCAGATGAGATGGCAGCTCCCCAAACAACCAACCCCACATAATTAGATGCAGTATCAGGGTCAAGAACTTTGCTAAAGTAACAGAAAAGGCTGCATCAGCTCAGCTCAGGTCATTCGCAGTATGCAAGCAGGACCAGCTGAAAAATACATTAAAAACCAAAATACAAAATCACAATCATTCACCCCCTTGCCCTTTGATTTTGCCTTCTAATTTACATTAAAAGCTCCATAACTCATTTTAGAAAATCAGTTGGTTACAAATATTTCTGGAATGTCAGCCACTCCCCAGAAATAAACTCTATCATTACATCTTTTTAACTGCAATGCCCTTCTTTGATTTCTGCTCTTGCTGAATATATGCTACACACTGACCCAGGGTGGAAGCTGTCTTTGTACTGCACAGCAGATGCAGTCTCTCCAGGTATCGAATGTGAGAAAGAAAGGCCTAAAACTCAGCAGAGACTTCTAGAACAGGATCTGAATCAACTATTTTCTTGTGTTTCTTGTATTCTGCTGCCATACCAGTTCCAGTCTTACGTGTATGTGGGCATCGAAAAGGGAAACATTGCAGAGCTGTACATCAGGAAACCCAGAAACCCATAAACAGGTAACAGCAACCACACCTCTGCAGTCGGTTCTCTAATGCAAAGGGAGTCTATGGCCACGTTGTCTATAGTCCTCTACCCTGGGCTACAGATCCACTTGGGTTTGATTTTCCCTACCTTACAACACGCCACAGCGAGGAGAGATGGGCTCTGGAGAGCATGGCTGGCCCTGTGTGGCTCAGCACAGAGGCCACCTTCTGACCTCTTTTGCCATTAACAGTTCACAAAGAGAAGAGACCTTCAAACTGTCACTGGGCGATGGTCTGGATTCAGTGAGGACCAAACACGTCGTCCTCACAGTGTGCTGGCTTCCAGCTAAAGAAGCCTACTGCATCATCCTGAAAACAGAGACCCTGAACACATCTGGCATCCTCTCCCACCGGCTGTTGTGCCACCAGTGCGATCTGTGAGAGAGCCGGTATGGACGGAAGCCTGACAGCCATGCCTCAGCTCGACATTTCCTTGGGGATGTAGCAGGATTAACCGTCAGTTCTTCCAGTGTAAAACAACCCCATAAAGGCAGAAAATTTTTGTGTTGCCTGATCTAGTTGAGAGGCGTCCCTGCCCATGACAGGGGGGTTGGATTAAATGATCTCTAAGGTCCCGTCCAGCCTAGGCCATTCTATGATTCTATGATTCTGTGAAAGGAATCACAGTTGGTCAGTTCAGCTGCCTAAATCAGCTCATCGCTCTGCTGTCAGCAGTAGTTGTTCAATTTGAATGCCTGTTTCCACACCAGATACTACTGCTTCCTCACCTAATCAGGATGCTACAAGGTCATACACAATGAGACACGCCGGCATGCTCAATCCAGACTAGGAGAGAGCCACAGCAGAATGCTGGAAACCAAAAAGGATAATGATTTGGATAACTGCTTCTAAACTCCATTATTTCTGCTGCATCCAAGATGCAGCTGGAGTCCACAGCATCACTGTAGTGTGAGAAAGGACATTGTAGTGAAATTTCTGGGCTGAAAAGAAGAAAATATCAAAAAATTCAGTATGAAAGGCTGTTCTAGGAAATCCAACTCTCAATGCTGACTCAATAGGTCAGTATAAAAGCTGAGGACATTAATTCATAAAGAATAATTCCAACTGGTTTCATCTTCTTTTTTTTCTTCCATTGCAGAAATGATCATTCTCATTTAGACAACCCAAAGCAAATCCAGCCTATCTGAGTGATAGCCACAGGCTACGTTTTTAATGAAGCCAGAGCAGCAGTTGACAGAAGGATCTCTGAATGGATTTTTTGCATCACCAGGGTTTTAACAGTGCTAATGACTTTTCCTTTCCCACCCATGTGTGTTTTTCAAAGAGCTCCATCCCTCCTGTAACCCAGGGAACTCCAGACAGTGGCAAGGAGGAAACCCTGTCAGATTTAGGAAGTGCCTTTCTTCCTTTCATATATTAAAAGCAGAGGGAGAAAAAACAGAGGGAATGAATGGTTTAGGAGAACCTTCAGGATATGGAGCTTCTTGTATAACAATTAGGATCTATTCTAGCCAGGCTAGGGCAGAAAGCCTTTATTCTTTGGTGCACCTCTGAAAAACAGAAATAAATGTGTTTGCTTCTGCCATTAGGCCCCGCTGCACTAGTAACTCATGCATTTGCCAGCAGCTGAGAAATGGCAGCTTTGTGCAGCGCGTGTGTATGACTTAGGTCTCAGGTCTTCCCTCACCACCAGGTCACCACCCACCACATAACCCTCCCACAAGCGCAAGATGCAGTGTTGAAGCACAGAAGGGAGGAAAGCCCTGTCCCTGTATTAACAGCAGGGTGTACCTGCCCCTGCAGTGAATGGATGTTCATCTACATTACACAGGGGTGGATTCAGCTCACCTACTTTGGACCTTGAGATCTAGACTCTGTCGTAACAGTCACTGGATGGAAACGTGCACCCCAAGGGTGACACATCTGGCTTGTGGCACTTGTTCACCTGAGAAGGAGATGCTCTGCATCTCAGGAATTCCTGTTTCTCTCTGCTGCCCATAAAGTAAGCCTAGATAATGAAGTCCAACTGTAAATATTTGAACTGCAGGTGAGACAAATCCAGTAACAAATGTCAGGAGTTACCAGCTCATGCCCACTCCTTGGAATACATTTGATTTCACATGAAAGAGAAAGACAAGAAATACTCACTGTGCAGCACACGGGAATAACTGTGAAGGGGTGTAAAGGAATACCTTTCACTGAGAAGAAACTCTTACCATAAGTAGGTGCCTGCGTTGCAGGGAATACTAACTCAAGTAGTGTGCTGGAGAGTGTCTAAGCCAGTGCCGCAGTGCCCTAAAGCGGTCTATGGCTTGCCATGGAGAGGTAGGGAAAAAACATTCTAGAATTGCTGGTCCAAGAGCAGAGGAACACGAGTGGTAAGTGGAATCTCTCTGGTTTCCATCGTTAACACTTGGGGCTTTCTTGTCCTGTTGTAACACAACCCAGACTAGGTCTCAGAGCATCACACCTCCTTCTGCCCCTGGAACTGCTTGTGCTTTCTGCCTTTCTGCTGCCTCTGATTTGGAAAAAAGGAGCGAGGAGAAGGAGAAGGACAAAGCATGGATTCACACTTAAAAGTGCCTCTTTGCAAGAGTATTCTCTGATAGAGCTAATATCTCTATTTCTTGATCATCGAAAACAAGCTCTGTCTTCAGAATTCTTGTTATGAAGTCAGCTCTGTCCTTCTAGCCAAAGGACACCTTGCAACACTTTCTGAAAGGACAGCTTGGGAAGTGGAAGGACCAAAACCCTCCTCAACAAAGTCATCTCTAGTCATGTAAGAGCTCCATGTTGGAAATCTCACTTATACAGAACAAGCTATGAGGATTCTATCAATATGAATCTAAAACCTTTTTAGCCCCAGATAACTTTGCACAGTACTCCTCTACCAGCTCTGTACTGCAGCAGGATTCCTCTAATCTGATCACTTGAGCTGGAAGAAATCAAGGACACCTTGGAGAAGTGGAGGCCTAGCTCCGGCAGCGAAACAAGGGCTTTGACTGAAATCGAAGTTGTATGTTTAATTAGGCGTCTTGTTTTATGTTGGCACACAGCTAGCTGTGGCCATCCAAACCAACAGGTCGCATCAGTTTGTCTGTCTTGTCTGTCTGTCTGTCTAGGGCTGTGGAGGCTGGACTGCCTCGAGAGACTCCGAGAGGACAGGGTGGGTGAGCAGTGCTCTGCAAAGGAGTAAGCTCAGCCCAGGCTCGCCCCACACCAGCCCTGCCAGGCCTCTGTCCTGCGCACAGCTCCCCAGTGTGCCAAGCCCTGAGGGCTGGGGTGTGATGGCGCATCCCGGCTGGGTCCATAGGTAGCAAGGCACTATGCTCAGAACAAACGCGTTTTCCTGAGGGTCTGGGGCACACGAGGCAGGGGCATGCTACAGATTCTGTTTGGAGACAACAAGGCTGAGCCGGAGCCCAACATCCTGTGAGAGAGAGCTAACAGCACCCACACTCGCTCAGCTGAACAGTATCTCCACACAGAACTGACTTCCATCCACAGGGTTTATGAACAGATTCTGCACTGCAGGAAAGCAGTGAAACTGTTTGTTGCTCTTCACTACCTCTACTAGCAACATAGCAGTATATCTGTAGCACTGCATCCAAACCTAGAAAGCCTGCTCATCCTGAGCCAGTGCCTCTGCTGAGGATACTCTGTACCCACACCATGGTTAATATACAGCTGCGATAAATCCCCTGCGGATAATCAAGTAGCTGTGACACTGCTCCAGCTTAATAGAAAGCAAAGAATTTACTGTTAATTTATGGCTTAAAAAACCCAAAGACCTTAAAATGAAATACAAGTCACAAAAGAGAATCAAAACAGTATCACATGTCAGTCTGAGTCCTCTAAGGTCGGAGTTAAGGTGGTTCTGCTGTGAGGAAACACGTGTTTACTTACATTTAAGAAGAGTATTTGTGGACTGTGGGGATGAAAGTTGATATGTCTTTCACTCTTCCTTTCTTTACTTGGCTTTTGTAGATAACAGAGGTAAAGATACTTTTTCCTCATAGAAGCATTAGCTGCCTTTTCAAACCAAAGTGTTAATCTCTTGATATACTGGGGATAGGTGGTTGCTGTGAAGAGCTTTTCTGAGCCTAAAATACTGTTAGACAGATTACTGCAGGGTGGTTGTACTAAGTCCCTGCCTGCACCATCAGCTACGGCATCTCTGCATGTCACCTATCGAATCACTTAGAAAAACTGACTGGACAACAGTCAAGCTCTTACTCATTCTGGCCAACAGGCGAACTGAAGGCAGCTCATCGAAAAGCCAGTGGTTTTGCTCCTTTAGGGATCACTACCACAAATCAGTGCCAATTCTTGTGGTAAGGGCCTTCTCCACACTCTGCAAGTGGCTTGACTCACTCAAGTCACGT